TACTATGAACTCTATGGAACTGAGGCTTGCACTTAAATCAGTTGGTGAGCTGCGAATAGAATTAAATTTGCTTCATTCTATTGAAATATTTTACTTTTATGCTTAAAGCTTTTCTGATAAACGAACCATCAATAAACTTGGCTTCCTTTTTCTGGACGATAGAATACCCTTTTGGCTTAGTCCTTATACTGCTAAGTTCCTTATTTAACAAATGCCTTTCTTTTGTATCCCTTAGAGTGCTGACTAAGGTTGACTGAATTCAATCTAACAGATAAAATGAAGTTTTTTCGGAAAATTAACACCAAGATCTTCCATGGAGGTCATATTTTGATCATCTTATACTTTTTCATTGATCTGAATGTTGTTGCTTATAGCGATACGCCAACGCTTTTATTAATATTATAATTAAAATTTTCCATAGATTTTTTTTTCCGGGCTCTGCTCATAACTTACCTGCATACTGCTACGATTTTGAACCTCAGGCTTCGCTGTGAGCAACACTGTCCTTGCCAGTCTTGTGCTACGCTTCTCCCGCCGCGATGGCAGTGTTCCATTCGACGACTACGTCATCTGCTGTGCCCGTATGAAAACTTGTTTCGAAACATTTTCTTCTTGCGACAAGGCAACCAATGGAATGGCTCTGTTTGATGAGGATCAGGTTGGTCTTATATTTCAATTTAGGCTATATAATGAAATTGCTAAATATATGACAATCGGAAATTTTTTTGTCCGATTGAGCGTTTTTATATATTTTTATTGCAGTCTAAAGCACTACTCATTCACTTATTCCTGACATTCATTTATCACTTATTTATAAATCAGTTCCTTGGATTAGCATAAGAATCTATATGATTTATTAACACCTATTACATTTTTACTACAGATTGGTCACCATAGTTTATTTTTTAAGATTTATTTGTCTTCGCAAACCACCGTTAGCACTATCTATTACTAGCTAAACGTTTATTTGTCTTCGTTTTTATGCGTGTACTTGACCACTTGCTCTTTTTATTGATAGCCTTATCTATGTAATAATTAAGTTTGGCTTTGCATTATTGTTGCATGCGAAGGCGGATAAAATGTCTTAGGCTATTATAGACCCAATATATTTCAGAAATATTCTATATTGGTTTGTATTTAGCTTTTAGGCCTAGGCTTAGCCTTCTCGTTGATCCTTGTTAGCAGAACCCTTCTGAGAGGGCAATAGTTCTCCCTAAATTACTTTCATAGTTGGATACCACTTTT